TCCAGGAGCATACAGCGCGCTAACGCTGCCGCTCAGACACTGTGTTACATTGACAATCACAATTCCCCTCTTAACTGCGTCGGCCAGGCACCGCGTCATTGCGCTGTCCGGCCCACCAGGTGTGTTTCCTGCTCCAAACGTCTCCAATACAAGCCCCTTGAGCCCTTCCAGATGCAAGACTGCATCCACCATTGCAGGCGTAATTCCCGGGAAAACACGTAGGCAGGCTACGTGTGCCGTGTCCAGGTTCGTCTGGATGGTAAACGGGCTGAGGTCGGTGGAGCGATGAACACGATGCCACAGTACATTGGTCCTGGTCGAGGAAATGGTGGCCAGCGGTGGCAGGTTGGGACTGCCGAATGCATCAAAGTCCTCTGCAGATATCTTGGTCGCACGGTTGCCTCGAAACAACTTGAAGTTGAAGAAGAGACACACTTCGGGAATCATAAAGTGTCCAGCAATGATGAGCGAGTTGAGCAGGTTGTCCTGGGCGTCCGTTTGCAGGTTCATCATGGGTGCTTGGGACCCAGTCAGGACTACGGGCTTCCCCAAATTGTGGAACATGAAACTGAGCGCAGACGACGTGTAGGCCAGTGAGTCGGTCCCATGTAAGATGACGAAGCCATCGAATAGTTGGTAGTTCCTTTGCACTGTACGCGCAATCTGGTCCCAGCCGGTCGAGTCAATGGAGCTGCTATCAAGCAGTTTTTCAAACTCCAGTACACAGTATCGAACCCGGCGTTCATACGTGCTGACTGGAGTCCTCAAGCTCTGCACGGCCTTTCGCGTACCCTTGTCGTCGACGACAATTTCGAGAGGCTCTGGGTAGGATCCATCATTGAAAACAGGCCGAGGTGCAAGTCCAGCTTTTAGAAACCCTCGTGCAGGGACCAGTCCGTCTGCAGACTTTCGCATGCATATTGTACCGCCTGTCCAAGTTAATGTTAAATGAAGGCCAAGTTAAGTGGCAATGCCATGTACCTGTAATAATAATCAATACGTGTGATTCTGGAAGTTGGGGCTCTGGAGGCGAGCCGTCCATTTCGTTCATCGTGGCTGGGCCTGTGGCGAGCTTTTTTTCCCTTCTCCCAGTAGTACGCCGACGACGCAGATAGGAACGCTACGGATGTGTCACGAAGCGTGCAATATGGGGAAACGATAACACAATGGCCTGTGTCTGATGATCAAAATTCAATTGGCGCGACAGGATGGTATAAAATTTCGGCAGGATCCGGTACCGCACATGATTGAACAAGATAGCAAACATTACATGGTCATGTCTTGGCATGATAGCAGGTTATCTTAGCGCAGGCAATGCTCGTCGACGACATGGTTTTCCAAAAAGGCAAAAAAATATTTGTGATCTAGCCCCCATGCCTTGCTGGTCGGACCGACCACCAAACCCACTCCACGCCCGCGACCCACAGTTAGGCGCTTGCATTACCCCTTCGAAATCGACTCCATTACCCCTTCAAAACTGCTTTCCATTACCCCTTCGAAATTGAAAATTTGCATTCCGAACCACGTCGGACCACCACTCTATCAACCAGGCCCGCATCGCGTGGGAAGCATCGGCTTAGCAGATATGCCTTTACGTCACAAAAACCAGGTCGGCAAAATTCGCAGGCTTGCAGCGAGAAACGTGCGCGACTGCGATTGATTATACGGACCCGAGCGGACACTACCATCCTCCTCGCCTACAGAGGCGCTATCCACTACTGGATATTCTTTGCGGCCTCCTTGGATGCACTTGCACGCGCCTTCTCCAGGGATTTGACTTGGCCATAATTGTCCTTCACCCATGCTAGCACGACATCTCTCGTGTCGGGTGACACAAACTTGGACCAGACCAGAGGTTCCGCGAGATTCGGCTCCGTCGTGATGAAGGGATGTCCGTTTTCAAAAGCCACCCAGCGTCTTAAGCCTCGGAGGATAAGAGCAAGAGAGTTGCTCTGTACAGGCACCGCTTCCCTGATCTCCTTCCAGAGCTCCTCTTCTGCCGTCTTGAGATTATGCTCTTCCATCATGGCATCATACCCCGCTTGCTTTCCGAAGACACGGATGGCTTCGTGAAGCACCTCATCCCGTGTCCAAGCCTTGCAAGCGCCCTTGTCCGGATGTGAGGGCATATACTCTTCAACAAACCGCCGGTACATGGGCCTCTTCGTTTGGCGTGCTCGATCATTGTGTTTCTCAGTGCGACTTTGAAAAATCTCACGAGCGAAGAACCTCCCGCTACATGCCCAGTCAAAGAGATCCTCCTCGTCCGTGAACCCAGCCCGATACTTGGTAACATCAAGACCGTAGAATTCTAGGGCCTCTTCCGGAGATCGTGTCAAGAATAGCAAGGCCTTTTTCTTGTTGTAAGGCTCTATCTCTTGTACTCGCACATGCAAGCCTTGGTCGTTGCAGACAATGCCCAAAGGTCGATGCGACACCCCAATGATTTGCAGCAAATCAGAATCGCTCTTTACGAAACGCGTCCATTCAAAGAGCTCAATACTGTTGGAAGTTCCATGCCCCACGCATAACTCGACATCTACTTGGACATACAGCCCTATGGTTGTGGGATGCTGCACCGCGTATGAAGCTGATCCGCCGCGTAGTATATGGGCGTCAGCCTTGAAAAGATCGCGTATCAGGTCCCAGACATTACTCTCTGTGCATGGAGATCGGAGTCCGTCGACCAAGTAATCAATATCACCGTAGTCTACTTTGCCCGGTGCTTCGCGTGGAATAACAACTTTCTCGAATATCGTCTCTAGGGCGCGCTGATAACGTGCGGAAAGCTTCTTGTACTCTTCTGGAGGTAGTCGGGGGACAATAATTGGTTGCCCAGACTCCGCTACAGTATCTGCGAATGCTAGGCCTCCCATAGTGAGAGGGCGACAGGAGAGACAGGGTTTTAAGGTGGGTAGAAATGCGTTGTATGATATGCGTGATGGATTATGTTTATGGTGAATGTGTAGAAAGTATACTGCCACAGGCGAAATGAGATGCGATATAGAGAAGTAGGAGTCATACGTCACCAACTATGGCCATCACTCTTGGCTGTACGACCAATCCATGGTAAATTTCATACTTGAACTCTCACTTATATTTGTACAACTAGTCTTACCATAAGAAAATACATGCCTCAAACTTCACAATACCTTTACCTGGAGAGTTTGCCAAGCAAAAGGTATGGCGTAAGTGTGCGTAAAAACGCGGGGCGGAATGGCTCCGCTTTATGTGGGGCCTGTCCAGATCCCTGCAGCAATTTGTGAAATTTTGTGAGAAATGCTCCCAGATTAAACGATCCAACCTCAACCACAACTCACATTCAGTATTCTACACTTGCGATACTGAATCTAGTATCTTTTTGAGTGTATCAAAATGGAGGACCATACGCACGAAGAAGTTTCTGCTCGCTTCGAAGAGCTTGCGGCTCTTGAGCACGAATTTGAGGATGCTGAGGAAGAAATCAGTAAGTCGCACTGCCTCCTACGTGAAGAGAGGGATCGCATAGTTGCATGAAAAAACTCCTCAAGAATAGCGCTCTTTGCGATACCTCGTTCCTTCTTCTTCTGCCGATGCGACGGGCGCAATGCTGACATACATGTAGTTCGCAAAGCTGAGGCAATCCAGACCTCGCTGTTCAAGAAGCGCGCCGAGCTTGTTGAGAAGATCCCTCACTTCTGGGCCCTAGTCTTCGAGCAAGCGCCTCCCGAGATTGACAGCTTCATCCAACCCACCGACTCCAAGCTCATCGCAGAGTGCTTGTCTACGGTTGAAGTTTCGCGCTTCGAGCTGGATGACCCTAATGGCTCACCCCGCAGCTTCTTGCTCAGGCTTGGCTTCACGGAAAACGAATACTTCGAAGACAAGGTTCTGGAGAAGAAGTTTTGGTTCCGCAAGTCCAGGGACTGGCAGGGTCTGGTTTCTGAGCCCGTCAAGATCAACTGGAAGAAGGGCAAGGACCTTACCGACGGTCTGACTGATGCTGCGTACAAGCTTGGCCAGTTGAGAGCTAAGTTGGCAGCTGATACTACCAACGGAGCAGCAAGGAAAGAGGAGGTCAAGTCAGCCGAGTACAAGAAGCTTGCTCAGATGATCGAGACCGCCACGGATGCTTCAATCAGCTTCTTCGGTCTCTTCTCCTTCGTTGCCGGCTACCGATGGGTTAGCGCGGAAGAGTCAGCACAAGCTGCAAAGGAAGAGAGGGAGAGGTTTGAGAAGGTCAGGCGAGGAGAGAGGATCGACGACGACGAGGATGAGGACGATGAAGACCCACTCGACTACCAAGAGATTGAGGTTTTCCCCGGTGGTGATGAGGTTGCTACTATCATTGCTGAAGACATCTGGCCCAATGCCATCAGATACTACAGTACGTTGCATGTTCACACATGTCGATTCGGATGCTAACAGGTCGCAGAGGCTACTTTTGAAGAGGAAGAAGATGATGAGGAGCTATCCGACATCGATGCCATGGACAGCGACGATGATGACGATGATGATGACGACGATGACGAGCCCGTTGACATTCGTGCCCTCGTAGGAAAGGGACGGAAGTCCGCCCAAGAGCCACCTGCAAAGAAGCAGCGTAAGGCTTAAAGTCTTTCTCTTAATGACTGCTCTAATGACTGCCTGTTACCGAGATGCTCGACATATACCCAACGAGTCTTGCACCATCTTAATGGCATTTTACGACTATATCGAGCCATCGACCAGACGCCCCCAAAATTGGATTCAAAGTTTAGAAATCGGACCTAGTTACTCGAATAGAATATCCGGTACTACTGCATATGCATAATACCATACAATCCATGTACCTCGGCGGATCTTGGTTCCATGTCTGACCTACATTTGCCTATTATCTTTCACCCTTGCGAGTATACGAATGATACTAATCAGAGAATTGCTATGTAATCCCGTCTAGGCAACTTCTTGTAACTCTTGTTGTGCATTTTTACCAAAACTCACCGACACACTCCGAACATCATTTCGGACGTGCGGACCGACTAGACGTGCAAACGACACACCTGCTCAATATGCCGTGCCTCTTTTTCCCCACAAGTTTTTCGGCACGGCATCGTCTTGGACCCGTCATCTTTTCCAAGTCGAAAATTCGCGCTGCTGCGTTCTTGTGCAGAAAGGAGCGGTTTTGCTCGCTTGTTGGAGAAGCTTTTAGCTACGTACAGTAAGTAAGTATCCACCAATAATAACTCGCAGCCTGCTCTCCGCAATGCCTGCATTCCGCTGCAGGCCAACGGAACCTCACCCCGGTTCTTCCGCCAACCCTCCTACGTAGTTTCCAACCATGACGTCTACTACATCCCTCCTTCCCGTGTGCGTGTATTGCCTAACTCCACAATTGCTCCCCTCCCCAGCGAACCTTCTTTGTATTCCGCGGCAACAAGGCTTGGAAGGGGGATCTTGGCTGCGTGCCTTATTGGGGCAATGGGGTTGGTTTTTTTGTTGGCAACGCCTAGGACTCGTACAGTACATTGTACCAAGAATATTTTTTTTCTTGGGGCGGTTGGGGGGGATTCCTATGCATGCCGAGCTTCCCTCCTCTTCTCTCCTCTTTCCCCCCTGCCCTCCCCCCCAGACGCACTGGGGTGAGGTGCAGGAATCAATGAGGAGAAGATGCAGGAAGGAATGAAAGGATTCGGCGCGGGGCTCCGGAAATGCTGGTTACAATGAGGAGTTGGGGTAGTTCGGGGGAGGTTACTTTTGTAGTACAAGTACTAGGGCCTCCCCATCCTGTCTTGTTGTTTGTTTCTGAGTCCCCCTCCCCTCCCTCTTCTTCATCTTGCTGTTTGAGAGGTTTTTCTCTGGCAAGATGGATCGGTTGGTGCATCTTGCTGGATTGATGCTTTTGGCTCGGCCAATTACTGTTGCTGCTGCTGCTGTTGCTGCCAATGGGTCTTCTTCGCTTTCGTTTGCTCAGCCGACGGGTTATAGCACTTCTAGCTACAACGCTTCTGCTCAACCTACGCCTTTTACCCGAACCGACTACTCGCACAATGCACTTGCGGCGCTCTGGGATCAAGTGGGACCTGTTGTCACGGGTACGGTTACAACGACCGTTGAACCGACGCCTGAGCCTTCTGTGTATCCACAGCCAGACCCGCGTTACTACCATGCCCTGGTCGGTACTGGGTACCCCGAGACTCAGGGCCTGAAGTTGCCCGCGAACTTTGTCTGGGGATTGAGTTCTTCGGCATATCAGATTGAAGGAGCGGCCAAGGACGAGGGCAAAGGGCCAAGTATCTGGGATCTGCTCTCACATCGCGTGCCAAACTTTGTGGCGGACAATACGACGGGTGATGTTGTTGCTCAGCATTACTATCTGTACAAGCAGGACTTTGCTCGACTTGCAAAGTTGGGTATCAAGGCGTTTAGTCCGAGTTTCTCGTGGCCGAGATTCTTTCCCTTTGGCAATGGGCCTGTCAACGAGGAAGCAGTTGCACATTATGATGATGTGATTGCGACTATGCATGCCAATGGGCTTCACCCTTCGGTGACACTCTTCCACTGGGATACTCCACTTGCAATCTTCAACGAGTACGGCGGATGGACGGACCGCCGCGTTGTAGATGACTTTTTCAACTACGCCAAGTTTGTCATTACTCGCTACGATGAGTTCGTCGACGAGTGGTTCACTATCAACGAGCCCCAGTACTGCAACTGGCAATATGCATCTTACCCAGCCGGGGAATACTATCCGGCACCCAACGGAGTCGGGCCTGGTATCGAGGCCCGTTTCTTGTGTGGCCACTACACGCTGCTTGCCCACGCCAAGGTCGCAAAATGGTACCACGAGGAATTCAAGGGCCGTGGCCGCATCACGTTCAAGAACAGCGGCAACTACTACGAGGCCAACAGCACAAAGCCCGAAGACGAAGTGGCCCGGCAACGCAACTTTGACTTTAGCATTGGCTGGTTTGGGGGTTGCTGGACTGACGGCGACTACCCGCAATCCCTCAAAGACACCCTTGGCGACCTCTTGCCTGAGTTCACGCAAGAAGAAAAAGACCTAATCAAGGGCTCATGTGACTTTTACGCCATCGACCCTTACTCGTCGTTTGTAGCTTTTGAAGTCAACGGCGGCCTCGAGGCCTGCACTAGCAACCGCTCTCACCCTTCGTTCCCTGACTGTGCTGGCTCCGCAAGCATAGCTCCCAATGGCTTCCCTATTGGACCTGCAGCCGACCCAGCCATGTCGTGGTTCTACTCTGCACCCGCAGGCGTACGCCGCTACCTCAAGCACATCACTCAAGTCCTCTTCCCCTCCATCCCCGACATTGTTGTCAGCGAATTCGGCTTCGCAGAGCCCTTTGAAGCGCAATGGAGCAACATCAATGCCGCACTGTGGGATCTTAAGCGCGCAGACTACTACCAACAGTACCTAGACAATATCTTGCTTTCCATCCATGTGGATGGTGTTAATGTGACAGGCGCGTGGGGATGGTCGATATACGATAATTTTGAGTGGCTGCTGGGCACCTCGGTCAGGTTTGGACTGCAGTATGTGGATTATGAGAGTTTGGAGCGGTATCCCAAGGCGAGTATGTTTCAGTTTTTGAATTGGTTCGAGGAGCATGGGGCGCAGGGGAATACGACGATGAGGATGTGAGGGGGTTAGGGGTAGAGTAGTAGAATGCTACGCCTAGTTCAATAGTAGTGTAATGCAATTCTTCTTTCAAAGTAAAAGGGTGAAACTAGTTTGGATTATGCGGTCTAGCGGTTCATGGCATGTGATGGTTTGTTCGGTGGGTCCCGGCGAATGAGGCCTCATGTGACGTGGTGTTGGGCGTGAGGTTGTGTACTAAAAGATACTCGACGACGCGGATGCTTACTTAGCCTGCTTTCTTATCGGTGCTCCATCAGGGACCTGCTGCTAATCCACCCCATATCGTCCAGGGCCCTTGCACCTTGTTAGTTGCCCGCGTACTTTTCCACTTGAATCCATAAGTACACTTGATATTGCCGGACACTCTGGCCCGCTTACTGTTTGGCCCTTAATTTCTGTCGGCTCATCCCGTTTACACGTCGTGACTGCCACTTGGCGCATGACGCTTGACGCAACCGCTCGCTGCACCCCCAGGTAGCCAGCAGCTGCGTAACGTCAGCCACCTGCTTCTCCAAACACCAAAACAATTCCACACCGCGGCCACGATCCTCTTCACGACCGTATATCGACGTGTCATACTCCAGCACAGCTTCATTCAGCCTGGTATCGACGAACAACAGTCAGGCCCTGGCGGCAGCATCATCCATCTCTCTTGGCTCGTGACATCGCCTGCTACTTCATCCCTCCCAGCTCATTCCGCAACCCCGATCGCTCTCTCTCTTGCCCCCCTCTTCTGTCACACGCCCACGCCAGTATACACACTGCGCGCACTGCCCGTCCATACTTTGGAGCCTTCTATTCATGATCTCTACATAGCCACAGATTACAAAGCCCCCTTCTGGTAACAGGCTGCCACGAATCCATCTCCGCGCCATCTGCGGGTAAACCAAGCCCAGTCTTCGTCCTGGCAGACGAAACCTCCCCAGACCTTCCCTCCCCAATCGCCGCCGACCGCCCATCCACTCCGCCCTCCCCCGCTTCTTCTACTTCCCCAGTCATCTCTGCCCCCTCCACTCTCCCCGGTCCCACCACCAACATCCTTCCGTCTCAACGCACTCCAGCCGGAAAGCGCAGGTACAGCTTCTCCGACAGCGACGATCACAACGACCACGGCGACCAAGACCCTCTTTCGCGCACCGACCGAGGCAGGCTAACCCGCCACACCTCGAAGCGCAGGCGCAGACTCGACGGGACCATGCGCCTTGACAACGACGACGCAAAGACATCACAATCGCCCTCGCGAAACTTTACCAACGGTTCGTCACAATCATCGGCGCCCAGGTCGCCGCTGGGCAAGCATGCGAATGGCAGCTCCCACAATCGGACTGAGAGCAACGGCTCCTACACAAATGGAGGTCCGGTAGCGAACGGAGGATCGTCGGTTCCCGCGACCTTTTTCGGCCATGATAGGGAAGAAGTAACGCGGATACTCATACAAAGTCTGACCGATTTGGGATATCACAATGCAGCAAGCGCATTATGTAAAGAGAGTGGCTTTCAGCTCGAAGGCCCCACGGTTGCAGCATTCCGGAGCTCGGTCTTGAACGGCGATTGGGAAGAGGCGGAAGAGTTATTGTTTGGCTCAAATGGAAATGATAATGGAGGCGGCGTTGGTTTGGATGCTTCGTATGGAAAGCCGTGGGAAAAGTCGAGGTCGAAGACGGGCTCGCGGCAATCTGCGGGTCTGACGCTTGCTGAGGGTGCGAATCGGGAGGTTATGTTGTTTTGGCTGAAGCAGCAAAAGTATCTGGAATTGCTGGAGCGAAGAGACCTTTCAAAAGCGCTTCAAGTACTCCGACAAGAGTTGACGCCACTTCACCAAGATGTGGGCAGGTTACACGCTCTTTCAGCGTCAGTCTTCAATTCCGCCCCTGTTTCCGCATTTGCATTTGTGCTGACAGCTGCTAGTTTTATGATGTGCCAGTCTGCTGAAGATTTGAGACACCAAGCTCAGTGGGATGGTGCTCGCGGCGAGTCGCGAATGCATCTTCTTTCAGATCTGTCGAGTAAGTGGTGATTGCATATTAGTGCCAAGAATGTCTACTCACACTTTACAGGGTCAATTTCACCCAGCGTCATGATTCCAGAACACAGGTTAGCCGTATTATTAGACGAGGTAAAAGACAGCTGGATCGCAAATTGTTTATATCATAACACAGCTGCATCACCCTCGCTCTACCTGAATCACAATTGCGAGAGAGACGATTTCCCCACAAAGGCCGTGCTTGATCTAAGACATCACAAGGACGAGGTTTGGTTTTTGCAATACTCGAACGACGGCACCAAGCTGGCGTCGACAAGCAAGGATTGCACAATCATCATCTACGAGACGAGCACATATAGGGTGCTACATCAATTAGACGAACACCGAGAATCAGGTGTCACTCATCTCGCGTGGAGTCCTGACGATACCAAGATTGTAACGTGCTGCTCTCAACCAGAAAACTCTGCGAGGATATGGGACGTCAAGGTACGATGCTCATGCACCTTTGTAGTTGGCATAAACTAACCTGCCTAGTCGGGTGCATGCATACAATGCATTAGCGACTTTACTTATCCATGCACAACAGCAGCTTGGGATCCCTCCGGCACGCGCGTAATCATCGGATCGCAAGACGACCGCATGGGCTGTGGAATCTGGGATCTCAACGGCGACCTCAAGCACAACTTTTGCGACGACGGCGCAAGACTCCGCGCAAACGACATTGCAGTATCACCAAACGGCGAGCGCCTTGTCATCATCACCGAGAGCTCAATAGTAGTCTTTGACTTTGTCAGCTACGAGAAGATTGCAGAGTTCCAGCTCGACGACGTCAAACTAACCAGTGTGATGATCAGTCAGGACTCGCGCCACATGCTTGTCAGCATGAGTCCCGATCAAATCAAGCTTATGGAAATCGACACCGGCGACGTCATTCAACGGTTTGAGGCGCACGTTCAGAAACAATTCATCATCAGATCTGCCTTTGGCGGTGCCGACGAGAACTTTGTCGTTAGCGGCAGCGAGGGTAAGTTTTATCAATGCTAACTTTCTGCCCTAACGAACAACTTGCTAACAGTATTATGTGCTCAGACTCGAGAATATATATCTGGCGCTCTAACGGTCTCCTCATCGAAGCCCTCGATGCCCACCCCGGCTGCGTCAACAGCGTAGCCTGGCACCCCAAAGATCCCACTACCTTTGCCTCGGCAGGCGACGACATGCGTGTCAAGATTTGGAAACCAGCATCTGCGTTGCCGATACCGACGGATCATTCTGGCTATGAACGGTAGATTCCTGAGAAGAAATGTTGTCGTTGTCTTGTGGCGTTTATGTGTGAATGTAGAATTCAGCAAGGAGGAGGGAGTTAGCTATGATGACGGTGATGAATGGGATGATCGGGATTGGGATATAGGCTTAGGCGGCTTTCTTCTTCTGCTCTGTCTGGCTCTTTTCTGGGGGAGGGGGAGAGAAGAAAGAGCTTTGTTGCATTATTTTGGCGTCAGAATGGCAATTGGCTTATTAACATTTTTTTTCCATCTGACACTGTTTCTTCTGTATTCTTTTTTTTGGGGGGGGGGGAAGAAGGGGGCTAGGAATTGCATGATTGGATGCATTGTCTGTCCTGGTTTTTCGGATTTTATCATTCTGGAGTGTTTTTTTTTCGTACCAAGCTATCATTTCTTGGGAGAATACATTTGATCTACACTCTCTTGCTAGGTGCAAATTTCGAGTAATGTTACCGGGTGAGATGAACCGCGCGGTACTCGTGAATCGATATCGACTTGGGGATTTCTTTGCTCTCTGCCACATTAGAACTTTGAATTGTTACTCTGGTTCCCACTCGCAACAAGGAAGCACATGATCAAAGCAAGTCAATTCCAAGAAAGGTACAGTAAACATTCTTTGTATTCTTTACTTGTAAAAGACATAGTTATGCCAAAACCCAGAACAAAAGGAAAAAAACGTCATGGAGGGGTTCCGAAACCTCGCTCGATATGGGGTTCGTCAGTCGTAATATTCGTTAAATGGGTGGGGGGCGTAAGTCATAAAGGTTGTGCTCCTCCAGGGAGTTGCGTATAGTTCTTGTCTTCTCTCTCTTTTTTTTGTTACTTGTTGCGCTTGTATAACAGGTACCTCCCTTTCCTATGTATCCAAAAAGAAGAGTCCACAGTATGTACAACTTGGTTCACCTCTTCTTGTGTCTCTCTCATCTGGCTGCTTCCATATTCTGGGTATCTTTCACTTGTTGTTTAAACAAAAAAAAAGCGCTACTTGATTAGACAGCAGGCCACCCAGACGACTTGACGTATCAAACAACACTGACAGTAGCTTTACCTTTGCCAAGATTTTGTGGCGACATTAACATCCTTCGAAGTCGGTCCTCGGCTCTTGCCAGTTCTTGCTGAGTATCGTGGTTGAGATCCGAGGGGCGAGGCCATGGCAACCATGCTTTCAAAGAGCCCAATGTACCTGCACGGGCTCGTGGAGACGGTAGGCTACGCGTTGTTTGTCTGCGTTGGCGTGAAGAAGGCCTTTGCAGGGTCTCGTTTTGAGCCCGAATGTCTGATGTATGCATGAGGAAACCGATCTTGTCCTGCATAGTAGACGATGTGTCGAGCGAGAGATGCTTCGAGGCGGTAGGTGCAGCGAGAGTAATGGCTGGATGGGAAGATGAGGTTGAAGTGTGAACTGCCCAAGGAGGTCCTCGGTTCTGCACTTCATCTTGCTTCGAGCTGCTGGCCTCTTGCTCGCGAAAGGTATCGCCATCAATGGCTTTTCTCTTACCACTGCCACCACTAATGACACTCTTCAAGCTGCCATATGCTGACTGGCTTCGTTTCTTGTTGCTCTCCGCCTTACCCTCTTGTGCCAATCTTTCGCTAGAGCTACTGGCTTCAGGCACAGCCATCAGTGTATTGTCTGCGGCAGTCCATCCTTGGCTGATTCGGTTCAACCGACCACGTCCTACAAGTGCTCCGGTGCTAGCAGCCCAACCTGGTCCCGTCCCAGTGATCTCGCCCTGTGGGGGGAGATGTGAGTCGTACTCATCTGCCAGACTCATCCTGCTCCTAGCACAGATCTCAGCAATAGCATCAATCGCATCTCTGATCTCAGGGTCGACGGCACGTAGGATTGCTGAGAAGGAAAAGTCATCGGCAGAGGGTAACTGCTCACTTGTACCTGCCAGACCAGCTGACAGGGCTGAAGTGTGATTATTCCCATTCATTGCAAAAGAGCGCGGGGTGTTGAACCCTGACCCAGCGCGAGAAGTATGCCGTGAACCCGAGTACGTGCGTACCACGACAGGCTGACTAGTGACAGTTGTTCGACTAGATGTCGACTTTGCGGACTTGCTCTTTGAAGGAGACGAATGGAAGGCGGGGGCATTGAGGGCGCGAAGGGCGGCAGACTGAGTCGGTGGCAACGTGTTCGTCAGCGTGGTAGTCGCACTGGGCACTGATGACAAGCTCGCGGTGAGGTCAGAAGGGCCTTCTTCTGTGTCCGGGGGTTGGGCGTGGATGAGGATGGCCGGGACCGCCTCGTCCGACAAGATGGGTTGGGCACTGAGTGTGGACGTGGAGTTGTTCCCTAGGAGGGTCGAGAAGACACCCAGAGGCACCGACTGCTTAGTGGTTGTTGTAGACGTCAATGGCTGCGGGGTTGCATTCGACTCGGTGGTAGCTGAGCCATGTTGCTCGCAACTAGAGTGGCTGGCGGAGCCTTGCGACAGCGATGGCGCCTGAAAGGAAATGCGGGGGTCGTTTGGAAGGGCGGCGGATCCGGACATGGTGGGCTCTGTTTCTAAACTGCAGGTCAATGCATTGTAGGCCCGCTTTGCGTGCCGTCCGAGTTGTTGAACGTGGCCTGCAGTGATTGAGAAGGATGATGCGTTGGCCAACATGGACCGCCAGTCTTGGCAGGGTATTCGGCACGGCTCACATCCCATTGGACAACCGCTCTTCATAGCAAACGCTTACTCCATTAGCGCTACTTGCAGTAGGTTCGCAGACGAGACCACAGTAAAATGCGGGGACTGATTGACGCCTTTGTAATTTTGATGTCTTGTACGAAATGTATCAATGATGCTTCCAGCAAATAGGGAAAGCATTGCACATGTCCTTTGCAGGAAATCAGGTAGGACATGTAGCCTCCACACGTCCGTGTACGATCAACAATTGAAGTTCAAGCCCTTGCAATGCCCTTAGAAGAGCATGCCGTCGTCTGAACAGTCACTGCCGATCTTTGTAGCAGTTATTAGTAGATCATCTGCATCTCCAAGCTGGTTGCTCAGCCATGACACCAATCCGCCAGGTAGCTCATCGAGTACTTGCATCTCGGCCTTGACATTTAGCATGAGCATCCATTGTAACTCCCGTCTCCAGCCTTGCTCAAGTCCATCTTCTCCGCACAGATCCCACTCCAGCATTTGTGTTGCTTTAGTGCGGTCGCGCATTGTGAGCCTCATTAGGCCTTGTAGTTGATATATCGACTTCCTCTCTGTCCCGTCCTCACTTACCTCACTTAGACTTATGTCGTCACTCTTTACACCCAGCCACCGAACATTGGGCAGACTCAGTGCATGTGTATCCATGAGTGCGACGTCTTCGTGCATAAGGCGGTACGAACCGTATTTGTACGTGGACAGAATGGCGATACCATCGGGGTCAAGATCTACCAAAACGAACATGGGAATGTGGGGTGCAGTGTTCCCAAGTTGGCGCAGAAACTGCCTGGAGGCGACATCGGGATATCCTTTGGCCTATTCTAATCATTAGCATCTATTGACAACGTGTGCTTTTGACTCACAGTTACTACCACGCCGTGCAAGCCCAACGTACTCCATTGCGCTGATCCAATCAATGATCGAAATGTCGCCTACTTTTCATCAATACCTCAGCTCAGAGTACGTAAGAGAGCTGATCATACCTCCTTTTCGATTATGAGGACCCATTGGATTTCTGTCAAATCCCAGCTATCATTGTCACGAACGACGGGAATGAGCAGGCCCTGGTATGGGATTAGACTTCTGTGACGCAACTGGCATGCTCTATCCCACCTCAATACTGCTCATTCCATGAAACAGATTGCTGGCTTGCTCCAATTTGAAGTTTCCAGCCACTAAGCCTTTCGCGGCAGCAGTCTGGTGTACAGGTATTAGCCGTGTCAAATTGCCCTCTCCGGACATTGCGTACCACATTCAATTGTGATCTAGTAATGCCAAACGTGCATGCAAGATCATCTACGTATCGATCTACAACAGACTGCTTGACGAATAGATCGGGATGTCGATAGTAGATGTCTCTATTTCTTGTTAGATTGTGTTCTCTATGAATGAGACAGCATATAGTACCGCTTGGTCATGAAGGTATTGTTGAGGAGACTACCGTGGATGAACTCCAGAATGCGTAACAGCACAGCTGAGAATGTCAGTAGTCACTCTGGAAAACGGAAGGACACCAACTGAATTTCCAAGCTTCTTGAGCATTGGCGCCTGGGAAGTTGATATCGCGCTCTTTGGGCTTGGGAATTGATCCATCTCCTTCATTACTGGGAGCATTTCTACGAGAAAAGGCTGCACGAGATTTCAGGGTTATGGTAAGCGACTCGTGTTGTCCCAAAAGACCGTCAATGATTCTTTCTAGCATGGCTTCAATGCGAGCGATCACCCAGTACCTATCAGTGAGTAAGCTGTAATTCCCCAGGGTTAATATGACGCAAAGACCTGTCGCGAACAGAGCTCTGAGTGACCTCAGCGATATGGCGGTCATGCTGTTCGTAATTATCGGTTTCGCTGTTCGGGGGTATGTGCCCCCTAGATAGCACACTAGCAACAGTAGGTGAACTGATGGCATCTGCCGGCTCCCAATCGTGGGAATGTGCATTCCGATTAGAGAAGAGAATATCGTCGTCAGATTCATCGAGCAAGATGTCGCTTGGACACATTGGCGTGCCTGGGTCTCCAAAGAGCAGGTCCTCAAAGTTGTCTTCTTCCATAGCTGGGGCCACCGACAAGACACAGCAGGTCAGAATAGAGACAAATACCAGTTTTTAGAATATCAGTAGAGACAAATGGAATGCGGCATGATTAAATTAATATGAGTCTTAGGGCGAGTGCTCTGATGGAAAGAACGACGGTGCGCTACGCTGCGACAAGAAGGCACGACGCCTGCAACCGCGTTCACAAAAGATGGGAACCATCCCGATCTTTTCAATGCACCAATGCAAAACTATATACTTTTCCTGCGCCACAAGCTCGATTTTAAAACTCTCCAATGGGTTCCGAGAGAGT